AGCTTCCTGTCCTGCTAACTGCTTGACAGAAAGGGATTTCTCAACAGCATCCTGGGAAATCATCCCAAAGAGGCTAGAATTAGAGAGGCAGAACTCATCAGGGACAGGCAGAGAAAAGGTGGAATGGCTTTGAACTGGAAGAGAAGAGATTTAGGTTAGATTTTAGGAAGAAATGTTTTACTCAGAGGCTGGACCTTTCCTAAATGTGAACTCCTGAATGTGTGCAGATCCCTTCAGTTGTGAGACAGCAGAGACTGCTGACGAGGAGCAAAGCAGAGCATGTCTGTTCGGACCCTGCCCAGAGCTGCCCTACGAAGGAGGACAGCTCAGCTGCAGCGTGCCTAGAAGAGCTTCCACTCTCACACAGGCTGCTACATGTCCCAAACAAGCCACACACAGTTATTTTCAGTGGCAATTAAAGGCTAGTTCTTGTTTCAAGGGCTGAAGAAAGAAATTGCAGGAAGAGCTGCCCTGACCAGTATGCCTTCTATACCACTTCTATTTCTCCTGGCCTGACATCTCCTGGAATAATACATGGAGTTTGTAGCCCTTGCATAAGGAGCTGGGAGCAGCACTTGCTTTAGAAGTAATCATCCCAGCAGGAGGAAAGCTTCTCCCTGCAGGTCTCATATCCTTTATTGACCCTGCCTCAGCACAATGATAGTGCACTTTGTCAGTTTTGCAGAGAGCCTCACTGAGCTTTGCACTGCTTTGTCCCAACTCCTGTGTGTCTCTATTATGATTTTTTCCAAAGACCTCTGGTAGGAGTTAATGAGCTCACATTAAGTGCAAGTTTGGGACTAAATTTCCTATTCAGCACATAACAAAGCAACTGCTGTTCACTGAATTCCCATAAAGCGAAGAGACCACACACAACTTCACTGCCCTCAGCCCTCTTAAGGTACTACTGTCTTCTTAGAGACAGGGAGACAAATAGAGGAGAGGCTGGTGGAAGATCACCACCCCAAAGCACTCCATGGACTGAAACACCAGCACAGCATTCTGCAGGAGCTCAGCTGCCATTCCTGTAGGGCAGAGAATGGCCACTCTTCCACTCCCCTGCATGGCTGAATTGCAACCCGCTGAGTCACAGCCCCACAGAACACTCGCCTGCTTCATTCCTTAGCTGCTTTCCTTCTCCATAGGCTCCCTGTTAAGTGAATTTCGCTTGTGTCAATTTGATGCCCATAAATCACCGCACACAGCTAATAAATTAAATGTCTCATTGACCCTACATCTGGGATGGGAGGACTTGGGCACAACAAGAGTAGTTATGTGAACATCACCACAAAGGAACTGCCAGCCTCATCCCATCCACTGCCACATGATTAATGATGGGTACAAAATAGGGCAGGCTGAAAGGAAGAACAAAGCATGACTGATGTTCCCAAGCACAGAGTTAAGACAGTCCAATGGTGCCATGACTGGAGTTGCACAGTGCACCATGCACCAGCACTGCTCGTGGAACAGTTGAGGTTGGAGGGGACCTTAAAGACCATCCAGTTCCAACCCTCCTCCATGAGATGTATGCCCCCCCACCAGGTCAGGCTGCCCAGGGCCCCATCCAAGCTGGCAGAGAGGGAACACAAACATGTTACTGGCCGAGTGAGTAAACATTCAGGGCTCTTTCGCAATCAATAATGATAGTACAAGGTGTGTGTGAACTTCCTGTAGACTGCTCTGCAGTTCATTCTGAATTCACCAAAGCAATTAGAGCATCTTTTATGCAAGAGCTGAAATTCACCTAGATTGATTTAAAAAGTATAATTTCCTGTTCAGAACTGCTGGAAATTAGTCATCACTTTTCCATGCTCCATCTGGAATTCGCTCAGTCAGCACAGCTATAGTGGTGGCATCTAAGAGAAATGCACGGTTGTTGACTTTCCTCAAGTATTTCCTATACTTAGACTGAGAAATATCCCAAATATGCAGCAAAGGCACCATCCCAGCACAGCGCATGCTCATTTTTTCCTCTAGTGAAAACCATCATGCAGCCAATAATCCCAGATGTCCTTTTGCTTGTAGTAATTTTCATGGAGGCAAGTATATCAACTTAATAGAATGAACTGTGATTTTTAGGAAGTGAAAGTGACAGAAGAAATTAACAGAATACTTTTTAAATAAATTGAAGAAATACACTGAACAAGTTACAATCCTAAGAAGCTGCATTCACACAAAAATGTCAGTTTGTGCATGCAGTCATCTCATTCCCTATTTTCATGGTTACCTGCCCAATTCAGGTGTGCAGACAATTTGGGCAGCTCAGAGAGCAGTGAATGTTTCTGCTGTGACAGAATTATCTGGACTCCAAGAAACCTGTTCTTTCCTTCCACCAAACTCAATGAAAACCAATAGATGGAGTAAGACAAAGAAAAACAAGGGATTGACAATTTTATAGTCTATGGGGACACTGCTGAACTGACTAACAGCTAAAAGACTAGAACACTCCAGAAAGAAAACTGTTTTGTTTATTAAAACAATTAACATAGCTTAAAAGGAAGAGCACTCTAGTAGGTAGGTGTGAATGGACTGCCCTTCTCTAAACTGAGGTGTGGCTGCTCCAGAGGTTTTCCCAGCATTTTGGTGCCTTTTGATGTAAACCACAGAAACTAAACTATATGAATTAAAATCAGAGCTCTTTAAAATTCACCAGTTCCAGAATTATTCTTGGGAGCTGACCTATCCCTAGAATACCTCCAGGTGTACAGTCACAAAGGAACTCACATGAAAGTTCGAATGAGTCTTTGCTGACTTCTTCCACCCAGTGCTGACCCATTTCCAGCTATCAGTGGCTTTCAGCCCCCTTTTTTTTTTTTTTTTTTTAAAGAATCTCTATGAATTCTCCATTCTTATGTATTTATGGAATTTAAACCAACTGACAGTAAGCTTCCTTTCCTCAGTTACCATCTGCAGACTCATGAAAAGTCATGCAAGTCTCCTTAGAATCTGTAGTTAAAAAGACTTGATTCCCATCCCTTCATTGCTTTTCTTGGGAAAAGCCAGAATTTACTCCAGCATATTTTTGTTCCACACAATAAAAGTTGCTCTGCCATAGAAAGCAGCATATTGAAAGTACTCTACCGGCACCATCCAAAGCTAACAGCATCCCTAGAAGATAAATAAACCCAGCTAATTATGTCTACTGATAACAGGAGAAAATGGAATCAAAGGTGTAGTATCTCGCTCAAGAGTACAGAATGAGAGAGCAGCAGAACCAACAACAAGCACTACTGACTCCTGTCATGCTGTTTCCAGATTCTAGTTGGGAAAAAGTGGAAAAAAAGGCTCTTAAATCTTCTTCTTGCTAACTTTCTGCTTCTCTTTAGAGCAATAATGGATGGAAGTTGGTTGGATATTAAGAAAAACTTCTCAGAAAGAGCAGTGATGCATTGGCACAGGCTGCCCAAGGAGATGGTGGGGTCACGATCCCTGAAAGTCTTTAAGAAAAGGGTGGATGTGGTACTTCAGGAAATGGTCAGTAGGCAATATTGGTGGTATGCAAGTGGCTGGACATCTTTTCCAATCTAATGACTCTATGATTCTAAGAAATCAGTTGAAAATATTTAGTCTTAGAATACCTCCATCCAGTAATGCCAATAAACCCCCAGTGAGGAAAAAACATAACTAACCAGGCTCTGGGATGCAGAAAGGCATAAAAAGTGATCATATAACAGATGGCAAAATAGAAGTGTAGGAGACAGAGTTATGGACAACCCCAATTGGATAAAGGAGGATTTGAATTTCCTTTGCAAAAGAAAAGCCACAAACCTGGGAGATGCGTGGAGCCATAGGAAATGTGGGGTAACTGCACCAAGTAGGAAACTGCCACAAAAGGCTTTGAGCTTTAGAAGTCCTGTCTTTTATCTACGGAGCTTTGGGGTAAGAATGGTGCAAGATGGAGTAATAAGCATAGGTGCTAACTGCACAGGGCATCTCCATGGAGCTTCAGATTAAAGACTCCAGAACTTTGGGAAGTAAAGGAATCTGTTGATCTTGGAGACAGTAGGTGGGGAGGCAGCTGCACCCTTTGTTACCAACCTGCCTCCCTTCCCCATCTGATCATGTAAATGAGGGCTACAACTGCTGCAGTTTACAGCATGCAACATCTGAGCTGGGATCTCAGGAGAGACAGGGATGGATTTATTTACACGTTCAAGTTATCTCTGCAAACCATCTGACAGGGGCCCCCTCGCATTTGTAGTGTGCTGATGAAAGTAAAAACATTGTGCCTGGGTGTTTCTGTTCATGCTTTTAGCACTAAAGATGTAAAGGCCAGGTCCACCACCTGTTTACACTCTCTTAGTGCTTGTACTGGTTATAGTCTGCTCTGACAAAGCCTGGCACACCCCTGACAATGAATACCCATGCTTTTCAGGGGGGGGGGGAAGGGAGAGAAGCAGGTTCAGACTCACTCTGAGAATCAGCCTGAGCATCAGCAATCCTACAATCCCATCCTGCTGCTTTCCTCTGCCAACAGTAAAGGGGAACAATAAGAAACAAAGCTACAGGCATTGCAGGGGAAGAAATACTGCTGTTCCACCAACACCAATCCTACCTGGCATAATACCCCAATGCTGTGCCTATACTGCTGAGTCCAGAGAAACTTCTGCAGAAGAAAATCAGCTGTAACCTTACGACATGGGAGCTGTTAGGCTGCAGGCATCGCCCACCCATCCCAAAAGTCCGGAAGTTCCTGATTTCCTGCAGGGTGATGATGGCCCAGAACTGCTAAATTCATCATGATTCATATGCTTCTATATGACTGACATTACACCTGCAGCAGCAACAACAGAGAGTTCTCAGAGCAGGCTCTCATGGAGTAAGCAGTCTTCATTCCTGTCCGTCCATCTGTCTGTTCATCCATCCCTTAATACTGGGGGATAGGGGTAAGAGGAAGCAACAGATGAACCATCCCACAAATTAGCCTCTAGAGCTATTTGTAACCAATATGCTGGCAGGTGTAATTAATTGCCTTCCTACCATTATCAACTAGCACTCACCTACAGTCCTGAGAATTGCAGCTCTACAGCAGGACCCAGCTCTGTTCTCCCATAAAATAGCTTCTGCTGCAGAGCAGTTGCACCCTTGTTTGTCATATCTGCTACACAGAGTGTATAACCAATTAATATAAAGATGCTATAATTATGAAATAAACAAAACAGTTTGGCTACACAGGTTATAATACCAAAAAGAGAATAGAGAGAATGCTTACCCATATCCTGGGCTCGCTGCAAAACGCCAGAGGAAGGATCCTTTCTCGCTGGCAGTCAGCTCTTAAATGGGTCTAGAAGAGATGCAGCCAGGCTCCACCCCTTCCGGCAGCACAGGTGAATTGCCTGCACCTGTGCTCCCAGGACTGACTCATTGCTCACCTCAGGTGATCTATCAGAGGTTCAGGCCGTGATTCAGTAGTTCTCATACAAAAGAGTTTTTACTGCTGGCTCAGAAGATAGCAAACACACAGCTTATCTGTTCCTTTTTCACCACAGCAGTTGCTCTTTAGCATGGTTGAAGAGGATTTTGCTTTCAATAACATCCTTCCTTTGAAATAAAAAAAAATTACACCAAGGTAACAGCAGAAGTTCTAGAAATTCTGAACATTTTAGATGTTCACTAGAGTGTTTCACATCTCAGCTTCTGATGAATGATACAATACCCACTCAACAAAATATTTTCAGATTGCAACTTCCCACTGCAACCTGGAATGCAAACAAAAGCTGAAAATCAGAAATTGCTGATGTGGCAGACCCACAGCTGCATTTTTTTATCAGCAATCCTAATATCCCTGTGCTCACATCTTTGGGCAAATATGTTTCCAACCAAATGGTCACCCATAAGGCAACTCATGAAGGACTGAACGAAAGAACAAATAAAATGAATTGAGGTCCCACTATTTCTGCAGTGTGGTTCCTGTGTTTTGAATGCGTAAAGCTCATTGAAGGAGCAACAGAGACAGGTGAGGCATCAGCCAAATGTCCTTGGCATGTGCTATGGAAAGATGATTCAGAGAGTTCCCAGTGGGGCTTCTCTGCTTGCAGCAGGTATTGCCAAAACTGTACTCTTTGCTACCAGCATCGTGGTGCTGAGCAAAGCAAACAGATCCTGCAGCCTCACAACAGGAAGACTCTGTGCCCTGTGCATCTCTCCTTGCAGCTCTGCTGGCCCGAAGCTAGTCCCAAGCAGGGTGCAAAATGAGGGTCAATGTGCAGTGAGCTCCTAAAAGAATAAAGCTGTGTCCAGTGCACAGCAGAGCAGAGGGATTTGCAGCCACAGGAAGACTGTTGAGACAGTGTTGACTGGAAAACATTACACCTCCTAATAACATTGGCAGTCATATAAAGGAGGAAAAAATGGGATATTGAAATCTCCTGCTTCAAGACATGTGCAGGTGGCCTCTAGGGACAACAGAAGATTTTTTCTTCCCATGCACAGCGTTGCTCAGGTAGCTGGGTGCTTTCTGTCAGATTTTTCCATCCACAGAAATACCATGCATCAGCAGCTGATGGTAAAAACATACTGCACTGGACTAGCCATTGGATTGGTTTGGTAAGAGCATAGAAGAAATAAGCCGAGCAGTAGTACAGTAACAAAATAAAGGGAGTGCTGGAGGTAAATCTGGCCCTGGGATCCTAAAGAATCAACAGGGAGCTCTCCAAAGACAGAGAGGAACAGATCAGACACAGAGAAAGAACAGATGTGAGCCAAATTACTACGCTTTGACTGGTGCAGCATATTCCATCCTGTTACACTGTCAGGCCAAGTAATGCATCAGCGGGATTGCTTTTCAGTGCTCCAAAAAGGAGTTATCTCGAGTGAACTAAATGGCCAGTTCTCCTAATTGCCAGTTTGATTTGACCCAGGGCCTCTTCCAATTCACTGATCATGATTTCAGTATTGTCTTTCCTCTGAAATAGTTCTCATTTTCCTAGCGCTCATTTTCCTAGATGTTAGTTCTGGTATTTCTGATAATTTCTTGCAAAACCAGCCTCATGCAAGGACACTTGTTCTTCTCTAGCTCCCCTAGAATACTTTCTTCCCCCATGCATCCTAGCTCATTTGACTTGCTCCGGTCCCCATAACCCACAGTTTTGCTGTTGGTACTCACATACTTCTCATCTTTTGTTATCTCCAAATTAAACACTCTTTGTTTATAGCTGGTTAGTTATCAATCCCTGAATGCCTGAATTTGCACTCTGCACTCTCTGTGTCATCCTCTGCTCCTGAAGACCACTGTGCCCTCTCTGCAGGATGCCCTAACCCTCTTCCTCTTTTGGTGATATGAACGAGCAGTTGATTCTATCAGTGCACACATTTTTTGGAAACAGACACATTTGGAAAATACTGAAAAAGACCAGGCCCCAAAATGATTCTGGAAAAATTCTTCTACTGATCCCCTTCCTGTAAGTCCTTCAGCTTTCAGCTCTACCTATGAAGTGAGTCCTGCTGCTTCCGTCCTCCTTTCTGCTTCAAGTGAATTCTCATGTCTAGACAGCATGTCATTTTCACAAAGCCTCAGACATTGCTACATGCTGATAGTAATTCTTTCCTCCTGTGTTGCTTGGAGATGGGCCTATAGAGGGGAACAAAGTCCACCAGATACATGCATCAAACCCTCTCTATTAGAATGACTTGGAAACTGCATTCCCTCAAGGAAATCTGTATGAACGGCAAGAGAAGAAAGTGTCACATGAAGCCTCTCTGCAGTCATTCATGTGCATGAATCAACAGATATTGTTTTCCTTCCCAGTAATTAATTTCAGTGTATTATTAATTGTAATAACCAGCAATTTTTAATGACACAATGAGCCTCTCAAAGCCCTAGCACTTGGTTGTTGCAATTAAACTAACTGTGGCATCCCCTGAGCAGAAGAATGGTCCTTCCCGTGTCTTTCCACTCTGCGCAGCGCCAGCGCCCAGGCCTGGAAGGTGATAAGGAGATCAGGGGCTGCAGATTTCCTATGGGATGTTGAGGAAAGCTCTCTTTGCCTCCATCTCATCCATAAGATTAGTCCTGTACTGCAACAGTTTACCTGGGGATTAGCTTGTTTAAAAAAACGGGGATTATTTGGGTCCTTGGGATCCATGACATGGTGTCTGCTGAGAAAAAAGGCAGCATTCTGGAAATACTGCTGAAAATGGCTCCAAAAAACGGCCTCATTCAGGTTCTAGGTTGACTGGATGACCTGAGAGGTCTCTTCCAACCTTAATGGTTCTCGGATTCTACGGCCAGGCAGCTGTTGCACTGGTTGAACATTTAACCCAGGCTCACACAGTGAGAGCATCACAAATGTGTGTCATTTCCTCTGCACAATTGCACCAATTAGAAACAAAACAATGGATTGCCACATCTGCCATTCACTTTATGCTTCTCACATCACAAGTACATTATAATCAGATAGAAAAAACACCAGCATTAACTATGGCATGAATATCTTAGGCACATCCTGACCAAAACAAAATCTTAAAAAATTATCATTAAAGAAAAGATCTTTCAAATGAGCAGCAAAATACCCACCTGAACATGTTCATGACAGATCCCATAGCAGCTGTAGTCTCCTTCAAACAGGGACAATCTCCCGTTCTGTCCTGGTCCCGATGTAGCACAGGAGGCCCTGCAATTGCAAACGCTACTACAGTAGCAATTAAGTTTCCCATTAAGACGCACATACCTTATTATCAAGAGACAGTTGTCACCATTACTATAGCAAAATACTCAAGTTGAAGTCAGTAAACTGATAATTGTTTTATCTGAGTTCACTATATTTGTTTAAAGAGCTCATTTAAAAAATGGTATCACGGCTGTAAGAGTCAAAACAGCTAAAAGATCAATAATTCTCCAGTCAGAGCTGAAGATATGATTAGATTGGGATCCTGGGCAGACAGATCTGGTGGTTGGCAACCAGCCCATGGCAAAGGGTTGAAGATCTTTAACATTCCCTCCAACATAAACCATTCTGTGATTCTGCGTGACACTAAAGTTCACTTCTGTCTTTAACAAAATTATGTGGATCAATTAGACAAACAGAGAGAAAAGGCTCTTGCTGTTTGTGCCAAGTTTTTGCTTGTTAGCGCAAGTTCCTGTGATGCTAATAAGACCAATGGACTTCCAAGCTGAACCAGCTTCATACTGGGTTGGCACAGGGCACGGAGATGAAGTTCCTGATACTTGTGTGTGTCCACATAAACCTTAAGATTGGGTCTAGGAAAGAAGTTTTTACAGTATGGGTGGTGAGGCACTGGCACAGGTTTCCCAGAGAGGTGGTGCTGCTCCATCCCTGCAGACACCCCAGGTCAGGGGATGGGGCTCTGAGCACTGATGAAGCTGTGGGTGTCCCTGTGCACTGCAGAGGAGTGAGACCAGATGGCCTTTAAGGGTTTCTTCTAACTTAAAAGATCTGTGATGTTATGAAAACTGGTCTGAGCTGTGGGCAGTTACCTGCTTAGTCACTTCCTTGCTCTGACACAATCAAACTTACAAATCATGTAAGTAAGTGTAATGTTATCACCTAGCAATGTTTTTTTAAATGAAAATTCTGGACTATAACCCAACACAATGGCTTTGGACAACAGGTGAATCTCAGAACCTTGCTGTTGTAAACCCCATCCTCCCTTATGAATCTCCACCCCCTTGTTTATTTCAATCCCTTCCTGTAGGACATTGCGCCTGGCTTGTAAAATCCTGAGAGCAGAATCAAACCATGACAATAAACAGCTATTTGCATCCTCTGGGAGAGTAACCTGACCCGGGACTCACTCAGAATGCTGGGATCAAGATCAAATACATATACATACATGCAAATTTTCCCATTTGCTGTGCAAAAATATTCGTCTGAGATACAGGAAAATATGGTTCTGACTCAGAATTGATGCTATCTTTCCAGTCAAGATTAGAGTCTAAATTGTGCAACGTAGTTTAGCTCACAGTATCAGTTGCCACGCAAAAGACTGTTTCATGCAGAGGTGTGGTCTTTTCAATGATTGCAACAAACACAGACCACAGTTGGCTTCTCCTTCAGATCCAATACAGTTGGAAAATGCAGCCAGTTTTTCAGATCTGATCCTAAAATAAACTGATTACTCCTCGTGAGCTGCGGACTGGCTTTAAATAATGGTGAAATTAAAGGGATCAGAAAGGTTTTGCATGTCTGTGAAGAGTCTGTCTCTGAAGACTAAAACCAGAAAAGGTGAAAGCACTTAAAAAGAAGAAGGAGAAGAGGAGAAAAAGAAGCAGGAGGAGGAAGAGAAGGAGACGGAGAAGAAAAAAGTTTTGTTTTTCCCACAGGAAACTTCCATCACTGTTGAATTCTCCCTAAGGATGTTTCTGTATCTGTCAACTGTAATGCATCAGCACAAACCAGAGGGCTTTGGTGGTCTGAAAGGCAAAGAAAACCACAGTTGTTTTTTAACCACCACCTCAGCTTAATTCCAGTTAACACATTTATTATGCAATAAATCTAATTTTGGATGATGTTGGAAAGAAAAATTGTGTGGTGTTTTCACAAGCGCACGCCTGATGCTAAATCAAGGCTGAGAGAGACATTTTGCTCACATAAGGCTGAGAACTGCCAAAACAGAGGTGAGGGGATTAAATCAAAGGTGTGTAATAGGGAGGCAGATGTAGGAATGCCAAAAGACTTTGAACCCCTGAAATGGCAAACCCATTTTCCACCAGAGCCCCCACACAAAGACTTTACAATTTCAGTGGCAAAAGAAACAAGCCAAAAGATTTCCTCCATACCCTGGAATAATCCCCTAGAAAATTGCACTACCAATGCAAAGCTTATGTCAGTGTCTACAGGGAGCAGCTATTTGCATCCTCTTTTCCTCTTTACTTGTCCCTCCTGATCTTAATGAATTCACCTGCCGTTCTGACATGCTTCTATGGCACTCAAAGCCCCAGAAATCAGTGTGCAAGGAGCTGTTCAGTGATGGCCTCTGTCCCAGTGGACATGATGTAACTCCTAAAAAGGCAACGACTGCTCATTATTCGTTATTTGCAGAGGGAATAAAAAAGATTTATATGGAACTAACGCATAGGTAAGTGTAAGTATCATTAGCAGTAATTACAGTAGCTGCCTCTATGATCCTCCTCTGTTATATGTGAGGCAGACTTCTTAAGTACAGGTTTGTCTGCTAAAAATCCTCTGTCACAACAGAGAGCCCTCTGCGATCTGCTCTCACCAGTCCTGTTCTGGTCGAGTGGGCTCCTTGAGGGAAGCAGTGCTTCCTGGAGGGAAAGTACTTCACAGACTGCTTGCTGTGTCCCTTCTCCCACATGCATTCACCAACAGCTTTGATACCAGAGACAGGGCTTTGCCAAATCCTCCAAGGCACAGCACAGCAGAAGGCCCTGACCCCTGCTCTTGGAGCAGGAAAACTTCTTGCTTCAAGCTAACATTCAACAGGGGACCAGAGGTGTGAGGAAGGTCTTCTGCATAAGCAGTTGTTGGTGGGTAAGGGGAGCATTAAATAGGATGAAGAGGGTGTGGACTGAAGATAGGCAGTGAGATCTTCTGCGATGCAAGCAGCAGCTTTGTGCAACAATGCAGCACAACGCAGAGCCCAGAGGCTGCAGCTGTGTCCACCCAGTGCCAGTGGTTCCCTCTGTGTGACTGCAGAATCACAGAATCATAGAATCACAGAATGGGACCATAGAGACTATCTAAGTCCAAACCCCCTGCTGTGGGTTGGGTGCCCCCCACAAGATCAGGCTGCCCAGAACCGCATCCAACCTATGCTTGGGCACCTCCATGAATGAGGTATCCACAGCCTCTCTGGGCAGCAGTGCTAGTGCCACGCTGCCTTCTGAGTAAAACATTTCTTCGCAGCATCTATCCTAAATCTCCCCTCTTTTTGTTTAAAGCCGTTCCCCTTTGTTCCAGGGCCCTGGCCTAGCCCATGCTTGCACCCAAGAGGTAGCGAGGAGAGGAGCATCAACCACAGCCTCATCACTCCCACACAACCATGAGTTGCCTTGTTTCTGCTTAATGAGGTGAGGATTAATTAGAGGAGGTAATGGGCTTCCGTGGACAGTGCTGTCAAGTGCCACTGGCTGCTATGTGTTGATTCTGTCATCCCACAGTTGCTTTGCAGTGACTACAGAACAGGCATAAAAGGCACTTGGCCTTCCCTAGTTCACAGCAGATCCTTTAGGAAGGACGGCTGATGTTGAGCAGTACTGAGCAACACTAAGTGTACACTTGGCACTTGAATAACTGTTCATGCCAGAAAAGAGCAATTCTGTAACACACACACTGCTTGAGAAAAGGTGACGTGGGAAAAGCTATGTTTTTATAACTCCAAACAAAACATACATAAAAAGGCATTTTCAACACTAGCAGTGGTTACTCCAGGCCATCTGCCAATGGGAGCATGATGACGAAAACCACAAATAAGCTGGAGGATGTGAACCAACAACACAACATTTGTATTCTATTACTGCTGAAAAATAGGGGCAGAAAGTATAGGGAAATTGTCTTTGGCATTTGTTTCCTTTAAACAAAAAGTTGCTTGCCTTAACTTTTTCTTATAAATGCACTTTTCATCTGCTGGGGGAAATGCTGCTCAGAGAAGGCCCAAAAATTCCCAGTGCAATAGTTTTCGCTTTATTCCTTCACTCATAAGGTTGGGGTAACTCTCACCACCCTGGCCAGCCCACCTGGAAGCCAGTGTGCACTCTCCTTCATGTAACCCAGTTCAGAGAGAATGAACAAGCATTACGCTTATGCTATCCCATTTCTGCATTTGCTCTACGCAGAGCTCAGGGCAGAGTGCCAATGCTGTGTGTACAAAAATAACTGAGCCCTGACTTTTCTTCTTAGATCCTGGCAAGGAAGGTTAGAAATTCACTCACCTACAGCAAACTTGGGGCCCCTTTAACAGCTCCTCCAGGACTGTGTTTGCCTGTCCTGTGGGACAGGTGATGTATGAGATTTCATTTCATTTTCTCAAGACATGACATTTTTGTTGGCTCATGGAAGGGGAAGATATCTCATGCCCTACTAAAGATCTTCGCATGAGCACACCTGAGGGCAGACAAAGCTTCTGCGTTCCCAGGAGACCGTGTGAAGTGGGATGTGCTGTGAGGGGGGACAAGGCTCCTTGAGAACTGTCTGTCATGAAGGAAGAGCAATCATTTTGAGAAGAGCAGGTGTCCTGGGCCTCTTCTACACTGCGTGAGTCATCTGGGACACAGGCAGATCCCTGCCCTATGGAACAGGAAAGAAAAATGGCACTGAGATCTCATGTAGTTGCTGCAGTTTGGAATCTGATGACCTTCACTGATCCTGTTCATCAAAACACACTTTGAATTAAATTACAGTAAATCCAGTGAAGACCCTTTTCATGCTAATTGAGTATGCATGGACCACTCTGATTCAGACTGAGTGTAAAGGCACTTAATAGATCACTTCATGCTCATATTTTTAAGACACTATCAAAAAAACCTTGAAAATACAACACAAACATAACTAAGTGTTCTCAGACAAAGGGATCTCCCAAAGTTTATCTATGGAGGTGTTTGAGGAAAGGGTGGATGTAGTACCTAGGGACAAGGCTTAGTGGGCAACATTAGTGCTAGGTGAACAGCTGGACTGGATGATCTTAAAGGTCT